AAAAAAAAAAAAAAAAAAGAAGTCAACCCACAGGCACCACCTAGAGATCTGGGTTAACCCTGTATCACAAGTAAAGAAGCACATACAGAGCTGGGTGTGGTGGCTCACGCCTGTCATCCCAACACTTTGTGGGGTGGAGGTGAGAAGATTGCCCAAGTCCAGGGGTTCGAGACCAACCTGGGCAACTTGATGAGACCTCGTCTCTACAATGAAAAAAAATTGGCCAGGTGCGGTGGCTCAGCCTGTAATCCCAGCACTTTGGGAGGCCAAGGCGAGTGAATTGCCTGAGCCCAGGGGTGTGAGACCAGACTAGGTAACTTGGTGAGACCTCATCTCTACAATAAATCACAAAACATCTAGCTGGGTGTGGGGGCGGGCGTCTGTACTTCCAGCTATTTGGACGGCTGAGGCGGAAGGATGGCCTGAGCCCAGCAGGTCGAGGCTGCAGTGGCTGTGAGCAGGCCATTGCACTCCAGTCTGGGCGACAGAGTGAGACTCTTCAAAAACAAATAAACAAGCACACGGCCAGGTGCAGTGGCTCAGGCCTATAATCCCAGCACTTCGGGAGATGGAGGCGAGAGGGTTGCCTGAGCTCAGGGGTTCGAGACCAGCCTGAGGAACATGGCAAGCCCTCATCTCTACAATAAACCAAGAAAAAAAAATTAGCCAGGCATGGTGGCGCATGCCTGTGGTTGCAGCTACTTGGAAGGCTGAGGTGGAAGAACCCAGCGGGCAGAGGCTGCAGTGGCTGTGAGTGTGCCACGGCACTCCAGCCTGGCCGACAGAGTGAGACTCTGGCTCAAAAGGAAAAAAAAGACACACACACACACACACACACGACGCGGAGGCGCAGGTCTTGGTAAGCAGCAAGCTCCCAGTGAGGGGCAGGCAGGACACGGCCCCGAGTTCTCGTGCCAGGGCCGGCTGCCCTGACGGGGTCTGCCATCTTGGGGACGAGGGAGCAGGCGGTCGACCTGGGGCAGGACTTTCCTGCCCGAATGCCTCACCCCACTGGGTGAAGAGAGGCCCCGGGGGATGGAGACGCTTCCCTGGGCCGCATCAAGTGAAGAGGAGTTGTCTGGGACCGCACATAGGTTATATCATATGGCTAGTGTGTATACATAAAAAGACTTATTTTTCAGTTCCTTTTATTATGAAGTTTTGAAAAATGAGAACAATATAAAACTAGTGGGAAATCTGATCTTGTTTTTGTAAAACGAATCTATGCCTGATTCAAGGGAAGTGGCTGCAGTTCTGAGTTCTCAAGGTGCTCACCAGAAACATTTGTTTGAATGTTGCTCTCTGAGTCATCATTGAAACCATCTGCTCCTAAGTGCATGTGTTGCCAAAAAGCGATGTTACTCAAGGCGTGATGGTGAACTTCAAAGTGGAACTACCCATGGGGTCACGAAGAAACTAAGTGCTAAAGAACACAGGGCGTTAAAAGATTTTGTGGGATCGCAGGACTAGCTGTCCTGGGCCACGGGCTGAGGATTGCATATGTTTGCTCTAAAGCAAGTTACGCAAGGGAAAGGAGGAACTGGGCTTTCTTGCTTGGAGAAGGGACACCTCAAAGGAGCAGTGACGGCTATCTCTGAGACCTGCAGGGCCGTCAGGGGAAGAGGCCTGAGTCTAGTTCGGACCGACCTTGAGGGCAGGAATGGCTCTGAACAGGCAGATCTCAGCTCAGTGCACGCGAGCACGTCTGAGTCGTCAGGGTTGCGTAGCGACGGGGGCAGCCTTGGCACAGGGATCGCCTTTCACCTTGGATGCCCAAGTCCATATGGCACATCGGATGCAGCAAGGGACGTCAGCTGACTGCCTGGGACATCAGACCAGCTGCCCTCCAAACTCTTTCCAAACCCTGCAATCCTGCAATCCTGGGGCCACACTGGCCTTCAAGTCCACGCTCCTCCTGGGGGCCAGCGGAGGCCAGTGCATGGAGGTACTGTGTGAGTGTCCAAGTGTCCCACACACTAAAGGGACGGTCTTCCTCACCTCAGAGGTCTCCGGTTCTGTCCTGGTCGCCCAGAGCTCCCTCCAACCTCATGAAGACTTATTCCAAGCCGTTAAGGCCCACCTAACGTTATTATCGCAACGACTCACATTTCCACAATCCTTCCTAAGTAGTCAGCGGTTCTTTGTCTTTTGCTAACAAGCGGTAGGTGCTATACTTAGTGGTCAATCGTGGTTCTGTCCCTCGGATGGAAGTAGCCAAGGTCTCAGGCATCACATTTGGAGGCAGACATCATCCATACCAACTGCACCCCCACAATAGGTCTGTGTCATGAAAATGTCTTTACACGGACGAACATTCCACAAATGAATAAGCACATTAATCAATGCCCCACTGGGTGCACTCTGCTAGGCTGTGACTCGTGCCCCGACCTGGTGTCCTCTGGCGGCTGCCAGCTCTCAGGCTATGGGAGCGTCTGCCATTTGGCGGCAAAGCCAACTGGCTGCCTGATATTATGACCTGGAGACATTAGTTGCCGGGTGAATGAAAGCCCCGACGCTACGTATATTAGGTGCTCTAAACATTTTCTCCACCTCAGTCCAATATCATCTCTAGCGAGAGGAACAAATTGATAACTTTGAAAGATCACTTCCTTTCATTTTTTCCTTCCTTTTTTTTTTTTTTTTTTGAGTTGGAGTCTCACTCTGTTGCCCAGACTGGAGTGCAGTGGCCGCTTCCGGCCACCGCAGCCTCGACCTGCTGGGCTCTGGCGATCCTTCTGCCTCAGCCTTCCGAGTAGCTGGAATTACAGGCATGTGCTACCATGTCCGGCTAATTTTTGATTTATTGTAGAGATGAGGTCTCGCTGCCCAGGCGAGTCTCGAACCCACAGGCTCAGGCAATCCACTTACCTCAGCCTCCCAAAGGCGTGGGATTACAGGCTGAGCCACCAAGCCCGGCTTTCCTTCCATTTTTTTTTTTCCTGGAAAACTTCACAGAGAGTGACACACGAAAGCAGGCTGAGAGAAGACCAGGAAAGCCAGAAGAGGGCAAACCAGACACGGACTCGCCTAGAAGGACAGTCAGCTCCGTGGCAGGCAGCCCTCCCACCTACACACGAGTCCTTCAGCTGTTGCTTCATCCTCTGACTGACCAAAGCCCAGAGCTGACAGGGCTTCAGGGGCTGGGGCTGACCCAGGCTCAGAGAGGGCAGGGTTCAGACAAGAGGAACACCGAGGTGTCTGACATCCTTCTCTCCTGCCGCTATGACCACAGGAGAGGAAGCAGACCGACTGGCCTCTGAGCCCTGTCCTCTGGAGGTGAGGCAGGGTCCTAAGGACGCTGTCAACTGACACGCTCTGGGTTCAGCTGACACTTTTAATGTGCCTCTCTTCTGGAGTGAGGTTTCACCTCTCCTGCAGACAACACGCCTTCCCATGCAGAGGGCGTCTATGAAGAAGAGTAAGTTGGGCTCGGTGGTTCAGCCTGTAATCCCGCACTTTGGGAGGCCGAGGTGAGTGGATTGTCTGAGCCCGCAGGTTCGGGACCTGCCTGGGTAATTTGGCAAGACCTCATCTCTACAATAAATCAAAGAATTAGCTGGGTGTGGTAGTGCGCGCCTGTCATTCCAGCTACTGGGAAGGCTGAGGTGGAAGGATCGCCAGAACCCAGCAGGTCGAGGCTGCAGTGGCCGGGAGCAGCCACTGCACTCCAGTCTGGGTGACAGAGTGAGACTCGAACTCAAAAAATAAAAAAAAGAAAAATAGAAGAGTCAGCTGTGCTTCCCTAGATTGATGACAACTTTCTCAGGAGCATTCAGGGACGCCCCTCTAAGTTTCTATTTAAAGTCGGGAGTGGGCAGGAATACACGAGTCACAGACCACCGGCCAATCTCGTGCACACCTCTTCAAGAGCTTGCTGAGTGCACACCAGGGCCTATCTTCCAGGAACAGCCGTCCTGCATGGTTGGCGTCCCCGGGCCCTAAGCTCCAAGGACCGGCTCTGGAGGGAGCACTTGGCTCTCGGTGGGTCTAAAGCACCTGTATGGTTGGCAAACGCCCATGGCTCTCAGCCCTAGAAGGAGGCGTGAGGCAGCCGAGGGTGAGTTTCCAACAGTACACGGTTGACTGAGGCGACGCATGCTAAATACTGCCCCCCCAGCAGCGCAGAGGGTGACTCTTTGAGAAGCACGGGCTTCTGCAGCGACAAGCCCTCTGTCCCCAAGTGAGGATGTACCTTGGCTCCCATAGCTGGCGTCGATTCCGGACCCGTCCCACGAGTCCACTGCGCTGTCCACGCTGGGTACCGTGGAGGGGTACGTGTCGGAGAGCTTGCCAGGCTTCTGTGCCAGAGACGTGTCCTCCTCCCCGTCCCCCAGGCTGCTCAAGTGGCTGGGGACTGGGAACTTCTTGGGACTCGACGCTGATGGGGCTTTACCGACAGGAGAGGAGTTTAAGGATCAGATTAAGCATACATAAAAGGATGCTCAGGGCCAGGCGCGGTGGCTCACGCCTGTCACCCCAGCCTTTTGGGAGGCCGAGGTGAGAAGATTGCCTGAGCCCATGGGTTCGAGAACAGCCTGGGCAACTTGGTGAGACCTCATCTCTACAATAAATAAAAAAATTAGCCGGTCATGGTGGCATGTGCCTATAGCTCCAGTTACTTGGAAGACTGAGGCGGAAGGATCACCTGAGCCCAGGAGGTCGAGACTGCGGTGGCCATGAGCGTGCCACTGCATTCCAGTCCAGGTGACGGAGTGAGACTCCGATTCAAAACAAAAAGAATGCTCAGATGCTCCATGGCTGGAACCCCCTCCCCCAAGGTGTATACGTGGGCGCCAGCACCTCCACGGGCGGGAGATGCCTCACGAGCCCCACAGGTGGCCCGGCCACTCACCGTCTGTTTGTTTCTTGATCTTCAGGGTGACCGTCTCTCCTGCCATCTGCAGCAGGTGGATGGCTTCACTCAGAGGCTTCCCCTTCAGGCTGCTGCTGTTGATGGCCAGGATGCGGTCTCCCACATGGATGGCGCCCGTCCTGTCACGGGAGAGGGGGGTCAGCCTCCCTGCCATGCGCCCACACTCCCCATAACAATGTGGCCCTGCTGCTCACGGGCTCCCAGGCAGTACGAGCGGATCGTTGCATCTGTTGCCCATTACGTTTCAGTTTCCAGTAAAATCAGAAAAATTGCTTTAATTAGTTTTTAAAATGGGCTTTGTGAGTTTTTGAAATTCCAGGAAAGCAGAGTCATCTAATCTCCTTAAAAATCACTAGAAACGCTGGACTCAGTGGCTCATGCCTGTAATCTCAGCACTTTGGGAGGCCCAGGTGGGAGGATTGCTTGAGCCCAGGAGTTCAAGACCAGCCTGGGCAACATAGTGAGACTTCATCTCTACCTCCGCTCCTCTCCAAAAAAAATTTAGCCAGGTGTGGTGGTGCCTGTCATCCCAGCTTCTCGAGAATGGGAGGACTGCTTGAGCCCCGGAAGTCAAGGCTGCAGGGAACCACGGTTTCTGTACTCCAGCCTGGCTAACAGAGTGAGACCTGGTTAAAAAAAAAAAATCCCAGCCGGGCTCGGTGGCTCAGCCTGTAATCCCACGCCTATGGGAGGCTGAGGTGAGTGGATTGCTTGAGCCCGCGGGTTCGAGACCCGCCTGGGCAACTTGGTGAGACGTCATCTCTACAATAAATCAAAAATTAGCCGGGAATGGTAGCACGCGCCTGTAGTTCCAGCTACTCGGAAAGCTGAGGTGGAAGGATCGCCGGAGCCCAGCAGGTCGAGGCTGCGGTGGCCGGGAGTGGCCACTGCACTCCAGTCTGGGCGACAGAGTGAGACTCCAACTCAAAAAAAAAAAAAAAAGTCCCAAAAGCAATGTTGACCAACAATTGCAGCAAGGTGTTGCATGGAGTGTTCTTTCTCTGAACAGATTTTACATATTGAAGGTAATCAGTACCCTGCATGCCAGGTGTGAGGGTCAGGGATGGGAACACGCCCAGACCCTGGAGTGGCCGAGCCTCCCGATGGGTGACTCTGAGGGTTGAGAGAGGCTGAATGTGGGATCCTGCCCGCCATCTGATCTGGGTATTTTTTAAAAAAATCAGAGTCTCACTCTGTCGCCCAGGCTAGAGTGCAGTGGCATGATCACAGCTCACTGAAGCCTCAACCTCTTGGGTTCAGGTGATCCTTCTGCCTCAGCCTCCTGAGTAGCTGGGACTACAGGAGCATGCCACCATGCCTAGCTCATTTTTTATTTTTTGGTAGAGACAAGGTCTTGTTATGTTGCCTACACTTGTCTCCAACTCCTGGCCGCAAGTGGTTCTCCCTCTTCGGCCAACCAAGGTGCTGGGATTATAGGCATGAGCCACCACACCCGGCCTAGTGTGTCTGATTCCTCATCATTAGGGTAGACAATCCTCTCGTAGGGAAGCCCTGAGGATCAAACAGGAGAAGGAATTGCACGCTGAGTCAGTGTTTCACTCTGTCGCCCAGGCTGGAGGGCAGTGGCACAATCACGGCTCACCATAGCCTCAACTTCCTGGGCTCACTTGATCTTTCTGCCTCAGCCTCCCAAGTAGTTGTGACTACAGGCCTGTGCCACCAGGCCTGCCTATTTTTTTTATTTTTTGTAGAGACAAGGCCTCGCTATGCTGTCCTGGTTGGTCTCGAACTCCTGAACTAAGTGATCCTGCCACCTTGGCCTCCCAAAGTGCTGGGATTACAGGCACGAGCCACCACGCCAGGCCATATTGTCCCCTTTTGAAGACACAGCTCAGCACAGCGTGACAGAGGCTCAGAGAATGCTTGCTGACTTGAGCCGGACGAGCCTTTCCACCTCCCTGAACTTGAGTCTCCTCCTCCCGGAAGAGACCCAATGTCAATTCACTTCTAGGCCATCATGGTCAGTGCAGGCATCTCTGAGCACGCCATCAGCGCTGAGCCCATGGCACCGTTCCGGGCCTGGAAGGGGCCCCTGGAGTCAGGCCGGGGCCCTGCCCAAGAGCTCGCAAACTGCAAACCCTATCCTTTGGGCAGATCGGGAAAGGCCCACAGAGGACCCGACAGGGCAGGAGGGTGCTGTCAGCAGCCCCGCGGAAAGGCTGACCCAGCCCGGCCATGACGGCAGGCCCGCGAGCCTCACCTTTCTGCCAGCCCCCCTTTGGTGAGGCTGGAGATGATGATGGGGTCAAACGGCTCCTCGGTTCCTGAGATCGTGATGCCCAGGGGCCCCCCGTAGCGCTTCAGCTCCACGGTGTAGATAATGGCTCCGGAACTTTCTTGCTCGTCTGAAATACGCGCCAAGGAGCATCATTGGTTTCTTTGGAGAAAGCAAAGTCCTAAGACACAGGTACCCACACGTAAGGCAGGAAATTCAAGACATCGTCCTCGAAGCACCACATCTCAGAAACTCATCATGTGGGGACGTGGCACTTCCTTAAGGATCTCACATCCTAATCCCAGGATGGCCTCAGTGTCCATCTGCGAGTGTCCCTCTGTGAATGTCCTCCACAGTGCTGCGGGCCCCACAGACTGTGTCCACCCCTGGCACTCTGAAAGAGTCTGACAAAAGCCTGTGGAATAAACATAGGACCCAGGGGGGAGGTGTGGGAGGAGGGCTGTGCACGCACAAGGAAGAGATGGTGCCACACCAGGCCAGGCTTTCAACGTGGGCAAGTGGATTCTGCTGAGGGCCGGGGCAAATGATGACATCCCTGTGGTTATGTGGGCATGGAGAGGTCGGCTTGAGGACAGCAGGGACCTGGAGTCCCCTACGTGTCGTGCCACTGACTCTGTCTCTTTCGCCCTCTTTTTGTAGAGATGGGGTATCTCTATGTTGCCCAGGCTGGTCTCGAACTCCTGAGCTCAAGGGATCCTCCCGCCTCGGCCTCCCAAAGTGCTGGTCCTACAGGCACGAGCCACTGCACCTGGTCTCCACGGACTGTCTTTAAATGTGAATCCAACTGGTGAATTCACAGATATTGAAACAGAGGTCTGAATGATCACCTCTCCTCAGTGATCAATGGGGTGGAGGCCGTTGTAAGTCATGTTCTGATAGTGTATCCCAGGCTGTATAAAGGAAGTATAAAGGAAGTTAGTATAAAGGAAGACACATGGGAACGGTTCCGTCTAACACATAGGCCAGAAGAGGTCACGGCCACCTTCAACACATTCTTAAGAATGTGAGCCCGGAACTGCACATTCTTAAGAAGTCTCAGAATTCAAAGGGTCTCGTTTGCTTCTGACATGCTTCAAGTTCTTGGGCGTTTCTTGTTCTGTTCCCTGGCCCAGCGCTGTGAACGGTTAAGGAGCTGTTTCATTTCTGTACCTAAGGAGGCAGTGAAATGGTCCAGTGGCAGCTTTAACAATACGGTCAGCTTACGGTCAGACTGGGTCGTAGCAAAGCCTTAGCATGCCACGATTCTGCAATGAGCAGCTGTTCATTTATGATATGAAACCCTAAAATACAGAGGAAAAGGGAAGCCTGAGTTAACACTTCAATTATCTCTGTGTGCGGTGAAGGTCTTGGGTGAATATAAGATGAGAGGTCTTGGCCAGGTGCGGTGTTTCATACCTATAATCCCAGCACTTTGGGAGGCCGAGGCAGGAGGATTGCTTGAGCCCAGAAGTTCAAGACCAGCCAGGGCAACACAGGGAGATCCTGTCTCTACAAAAAAATTTTTAAAATTAGCTGTGTACGGTGGTGTGTGCCTGTAGCCCCAGCTACTTAGAAGGCTGAGGTGGGAGGATTGCTTGAGCCCAGTAGTTCAAGACCAGCCTGGGCAACACAGGGAGACTTCATCTCTACAAAAAATAAAAAAATCAGCCTGGTGTGGTGGTATACTCCCATAGTCCCAGTCACTTGGGAGGCTGAGACAGGAGGGTCACTTGAGCCCAGGAGGTCAAGGCTGCAGTGAGCCATGATCGTGCCACTGGGTGACAGTGAGACCTTGACTCAAAAATTAATAAATAAAGTGAGAGGTCTTTGGAGTGATGTGGGAAGCGGCGTGCCTCTCTCTCACTTCTGGCAGTAGACTGGGAATGTTGGTGGGGCCATCCCCCCACTTCCCGAGCACCCTGCTTTGAGTGGGTGCCCTCCACTGAGAACTAGAAATCACACGCTGCAATACTTTCGTCAACTGAGGACACAGAAATCCCCCATACCAGGTTTGACTTTGTACTGGCAGAGAGGGCTCTTCCACATTGAGCCAGAGTGTGTCTGATGGTTCACAAATGTCTGCCAGGCTGCTGTGTAAGCTGTGGCCACCAGGCTAGTGACACCAGAAGGGGTCTCCAGAGAGAAGCACCCGGATACACAGGGTGCAGAGGGCAGAGGTCAAAAGCCTGCATTATCCTTCCAAGCTGGCTCTGACCTAAATGAGCCGTGGTACTGGATAGACGACATGTGCTTGGAGCCTGCCTGTGTTCTGGAAACCCTCCTGGAAGGCAGATTTGATAGTTAAGTATCAGCTACTGACAGATACTCCCCTGGCATGGGGGGGGTGTAGATGCCACAGGAAAGACTGTGAGTCCCCGAAACTCTCCGTCGAGAGAACACAAGCTTGTCAGAGGGCACCACGTGTCTTGGATCAGGGCATCGCCTTTTCTGGGACTTGGGGGAATGACCTCCAGTTGCCCAGCACCTGGAGACCCGAGGGTCTGTGGGAGGCTTTAGTCGAGATTTCAGACCGAAACCAACTCTGGTCCACGGAAGGGGAGTCTGGGTGCAGCCCCGCTCACTGGGAGAAGGGGGAACCCTGGTCCGAATCAGCTCACCCTTCTCAGCCCAGTGTGTCCCGTGTGTTATTTTTAGACCCTGCCCTTTGAGTCCACACAGTGACAAATTAACCCCAGAGATGCAATGCACGGTTTAGGCCCGCCCGTTTCAGGCCGCCTTATTTGGGGACATTTTTATTAGGTACCCGAGGCCTCCCTGTCACTGGGAGGCAGCTGTTAGACCCTCGAAGAGGAGAGATTGCAGCCGAGGTGCATATCAGAACCTAGCAGGGCCCTCACTGAGGCAAAGTGATATGTGTTTAGGTCATGACAGAGATGGGGGCCGGTTTCGGATTTCTTCGACAAATAAAATGCCAGAAACAAACAAGAGACAAGGGAGATTTAAGAGACACTACAGCCCAAAGCAATGGATATAGATCTCTTGAAATCCTAATTAAATGCCACTATTTATAAAAGCTCTCTGGCCGGGCACAGTGGCTCAGGTCTGTCATCAGTGTAATCAGCACTTTGGTAGGCCGAGGTGGGAGGACGGCTTGAGCCCAGGAGTTGGAGACCGGCTTGGGGTATAGTGAGACTCTGGCTCAAAAATAAATAAGGAAAAATTAAAAAGCTATCTATCTATCTATCTATCTATCTATCTATCTATCTATCTATCTCTATCCATCTATCCTTTAACCATCCTATGTATCTATCATCTATCATCTATCTCTACTCATCCATTCAATCGATTCATCCTGTCATCTATCTTCTGTCTATCTATCTACCTACCTACCTATCATGTATCTCTATCCATCCATCCATCAGTCCATCCAATCTATTCATCCTATCTATCCATCCATCCTATCTATTATCTATCTATCTATCTGAAAATCAGGGAAACGGGAGTGTCAAGTGAATGTGTTATGATATTAAGACTTGTTGCTACCATTTCTAATGTGACGTTACTTAGTTATGTGTTTTAAAAGTGCATCTTTCGGCCGGGCTCGGTGGCTCAGTCTGTCATCTCAGAACTTTGGGAGGGTGAGGCGAGTGGATGGCCTGGGTCCGTGGGTTCCAGATCAGCTTGGGCAACTTGGTGAGACCTCATCTCTACAATAAACCAAAAAAAATTAGCCGGGCATGGTAGCACATGCCTGCAGTTTCAGCTACTCAGAAGGCCGTGGCGGAAGGATCGCAAGAACCCAGTGGGTCGACGCTGGGGTGGCCATGAGCATGTCACTGCACTCCAGTCTAGGTGACAGAGTGAGACTCTAACTCAAAAAAGAAAGGTGTGTCTTTCAGGGATACATTACTAATATTTACAAGATGAAACATGATGCCTGGAGTTTCCCCCAGCTAATCCAGTGTGTAGGTGGGGGTGGGGGTAAGACTGAGGATACAGAGGAAGCAGGACTGACCGTGAGTGGCAGTCGACACTGGGTATGCGTGATGACTCCTTACACTATCTTTTCCTGTTCTGTATATATTTTAAATTTCATAATACGCTTTTAAAGGAGAGAATAAGACTAATTCCCTAAAATGCCACATGACTACCTGAGTGAACAGATATTCCATGAGTCTGGCTTCCTCCCTTCATAGACAGTGGTGGTCGCTATAAGTGGTCACATCCAGACCACACAGCTGTCGTCCACACGGCCCGGGCCCCGGACACCCATATCCTGCCCTCAGGAGGCCCCCACCAGCCCTGGGAGCCTGGTCCTTCCGCTAGATGGTTTTCCGACTCAGGCTCCAGCTTCACCCCTTGCCCCCAGCACTGCAACACACACCCTTTCCTCCCCAGAATATCTGAAAAACATAAGCCTGCATATGCTACTCTCTTACTTGAAGCTTTTCACTGGCTCCCCAATTTCTTAAAAACAAAATACAACACCCCGTTTTGGGGTTGGGGTTCTCACACTGTCACCCAGGCTGGAGTACAGTGCCCTGATCATGACCATCACGGTTCATGGCAGCCTTGACTTCCTGGGGTCAGGCGATCCTTCCGCCTCAGTCTTCCAAGTAGCCAGAACTACAGTCGTGTACTACCATGCCTGGCTAATTTTGTGATATATTGTAGAGACGAGGTCTCACCAAGTTACTCAGGCTGGTCTCGAACCCCTGGGCTCAGGCAATTCTCTCACCTCGGCCTCTCAAAGTGCCAGGATGACAGGTTTGAGCCACCGCGTCCAGCCTGCACTTGTGATTGTAACTGCGCAATTTCATTCATCTTCTGTAGCCTATGAAATGTGAGTGGAGCTGTGCTACGTAAACACAATCATACGCTTTGGAAAGACTCACAAGGAGTCACCAGGGAAAAATCCACTGTTAATTACATAGAGCAAAACCCTAAGACACGGGAAACCTGAATTGCAGGTGGGGAAGGCGGTCAGGAGGCTTCACATTCCTTACACTCTCACTGCAGTAGAAACAAGAGAGAAAATGGGAAATCAGAAACGACACAGCAGGGATGTGGCGTAGGAAAACAGCCCAAAAGACCTGTGCTCATCACCCGCAGCACCACACTCAGTGGGAAGGCCTGGACCTGACCCGCAGACGGACACGTTTTTAAGTGGAATGCTGTGCTGTGGGTGTGTCTCGCCTTCTGTAATTCCCCACGTGAGCCGACTCTTCCGACGAGGGACTTTCCTCAGCCAACTCCTCGTCTCGTCACAATCAGACAAGAGTGCTACTCGGGCAGTGCACTGGGCATCTGTTGGAATGCGGACTCGCAGGCCCGCCCGTCCTCACAAGCTCCTAGGTGGCCCTGTGGCCTGCCAGGGTTCCAGAAGGGCCGCTTTCCTGTGCTGACACGTGGGGCCTGCAGCGTGGGATGGCAAGGAGCCAGTGGGGTGCTAGGTTCCTCGGGAACCATGAACACCTCCTAACTCAGCCGCCCCACTTCTAGCTAGGAACACTCTCTAAGGGAATAACCCAAAGGAAGGAAAAAGGTAAGTCAAGGCATCTATGACCCCCTGATTGCACTGCTGATAATAATGAAACAATCAGAAGGAACTTAAAGACCAAAGAAGAGAAATCAACACGTTGCAGGCAGTCAACGTAAACGAGAGACATTAGGGTTCTGTAAAACGGTAACATGTTTGCAATAGAAAGTGAAGGAAGCTGGGCACGGGTGGCTCATGCCTAGTCATCCCAGCACTTTGGGAGGCGGAGGCAAGAGGATCGCCTGAGCTCAGCAGGTCGAGGCTGTGGTGGCCGTGAGCGTGTCACTGCACTCCAGTCTAGGTAACAGAGTGAGACTCTGACTCAAAAAAAGAAAGAAAGAAAGAAAAAAAGTTAAGGAAAAATGCAACATTCGTCATGGGTATAATTATGTAATGTGAATATCAACAAAGACTAGAAAGTCACTATTGTCATTGCACCAGGGTGGCCCTGGGTGATGATTTAATTTTCATCTATAAAAGTTATTTTAAAGCAATTACAATAATGTTCTCTATAATGAAAATACCTTAAGTGTATCATTTAAAAGCGCCACTATTTAAAATTCAAACGAGGTCTGACAAGTCGGCAAACTCATCCTAGGAAAAGTGCCACACACCTCATTGCTGAATCTCACTATGGTCACCTTTGAAGTCCTCCCCTTGGGAAGCCATGTGCCGATGCCAGTGCCCAGTCCACCCGTCAAAGCAGTTTTGGAACTCTTTCTGGAATGGCCATCAGAGTCATTGCCATATTATCCTTGATATCCTGAATATCATCAGATGTCTTCCTTTCAATATTTTCTCCATCTTTGGGTTAAAAAAAAAGTCATCGGGGGCCAGATCAGATGAGTAGGGACGGTGTTCCAATACAGTTATTTGTTCAGTGCTGACAACACAAACACACAGTGGCAAGTTCAAGAACTTGGTGGTCAGATTTCAACAAATAATGGCAACGGCTCTGATGGCCATTCCAGAAAAAGAGATTTAAAATGGCTTTGACAGGTAGACCAGGCACTGGCGTCGGTGCGTAGCCTCCCAAGGGGAGGACTTCAAAGGTGACCACAGTGAGATTCAGCAGTGAGGTAGGGAGCACATTTTCTAGGATGGTTCGCGAACTTCATGGTTGGACCTCGTAGACAGCCTCAACACGTGATGTCGAGATCCCTTTGCTGCTGCCACGCCGCTGGCTGGCCCCTGTGTGTCAGACGTCAAGCTCCAACATCCCTGGGGACAGACGGGCAGGTAGGAAGCCAGTCCTGACTGAGGATGCTTGCGGTACCTGAGTTGTCCTCGTCCTTGCGGATCTTGAGCTTGACCAGGTCCTCGCATTGCTGGAGGATCTGCACGGCGTCTTCCATGGAGCAGTTGTCCAGACGGATGTTATCTATGGCGAGCAGCTTGTCCCCTAGCTCCAGGGTCCCGGTCCTGTTGGCGAATGCACCGCGACACACAGTAACTAACTGGGAGTGCTCACCGGGCGTTTTGAGAGGCTCCAAGCATTGTGGGCACGATCGATGGCGGTCTTGGAGGAAAGAGGTCCTTCGACTGCTTTTCCATCGTGGTCTATTGACAACCCCACCTCCCACCCAGTCCTATTCGGGTCAGCCACTGTGATGTGCCATGGCACAGTGTTACGGGCATATTTCCGTATGCTTTCTTCAGTTCAACCAGGGCACTCACACAGGCTGCACTCAGGGAGCATGGCGTTCCCAGGAAGGGAGATGCGGGCTGGGGACTGCAGAGACCAGGTGTCTTGGGCTTCCTCCTGTGGCCACGCCACCTGACACTAGGCCAGGGTGGAGGGAAGAAAGTCGAGGAGGGGAGGGTGGCTGGAGGGCTGAACTTGGGGTCTCCGCCATTTCTACCTGCACCGGGGAACTCCCTGTGGCTAGAGAAAGGAAAGTGGTCACTGGGAGTCCAACACTGGCTGTGGGTCTGTTAAAGATTATTTTTGTGATTTTCGAGACAGGGTCTTGCTATGCAGTGGCACGATCATAGCTCACGGCAGCCTCCAATTCCTGGGCTCAAGTGATTTTCCTTCCTCAGCCTTCCGAGTAGTTGAGACTACAGGTACTAACACACACACACACACACACACACACACACACACACACACACACACACACACACTTTTATTTTTTGTAGAGACGAGATCTCTCTATGTTGCCCAGGCTGGCCTCAAGCTCTTTGGCTCAAGCCAACCTCCCGCCTCAGCCCTCCAAAGTGCTCAGATTTTAGGTGTGAGCCCTGATGCCTGGCCGGTTGAATGCTGTCAAAATTCATAATGAAACGAGAGATAATGAGCACGCCGTGCACGTATGCATGTGTGCACACGTGTATTCATGCACGCCTTTGTGGCTTATGTCCGTGTTGGGTCGGCTCACTGTCCCCAGCCTCCTGTCTCCCTTGCCGTCTCGAGTCGCCCCTTAAGACGCACGCCTCAGACTCCCTCAGCAGCCCTTCAGGGCTCGGCCGGCGGCTGGGTGCGCCCGGTCCTGGACTGCCCAACCCCACTGTCACACCAGAGACAGACTCTGTCCGGCTGGAGTCACTGTGCTAGAGGTCTCTGTCACAGCAGAGCCCATATCCAAACACCTCAGTTGACACGATGTCCTCCCGACTTTTTGGGTGTTAAAATATTTCTTTCGTGAAACAATTGTGATAAGAGATGGGATTCTAAAAGTCCTTAATTGGAAAATAGAAAGAAACATACTGGTCTTGTAACAGTTTCCACAAACACTAAAAAATATTTTCATCTTGGCTCACACTTATAATCCCAGTACTCTGGGACACTGCGGCAGGAGGACTGGTCCAGCTCAGGAGTATCAAGACCAGCCTGGGCAGCACAGCAAGACCTCGTCTCTACCAAAATTAAAAAATTAGCCAGGTGTGGTGCTGTGTACCTGCAATTCCAGTACTCAGGCGGCTGAGGTGGGAGGATCACCAGAGTCCCAGAGGTCAGGGCTGGGGTGAGTCGTGATCCTGCCACTGCCCTCCAACAGGAGCGACAGAGTGAGACCCCCACTCGAAAAGCTTTTATCTGTACATAAGAAGTTTGAGCCTCCCTGGATCTGCTGGTGTGTGGGTCACAGAGGCGACATGCACCTTACAGAGGGCTTGAGGGTCTTGCTTGCTCAGGGGCCACACATTGGCACCTGGCAAGACTCCAGCTCTGACCTCCACGGAGCCCTCTCATAACCGGCTGCCTTCAAGGCTTTCAGCCGGAACTTGAGGAATGGGGGTGACCAGCGAAGGGGGCCTTGGCTGCTCAATTCATTGGTGCAGGACCCAGGCGGGGAGAGCAGGGGGCCGCTGCCGCCAGGTGACGTCAGGCACGATCAGTCGACAGTGGCTGCCTGGGAAACCCTGAGCACACGGTGGTCCCAGCAAGGTCGGCCTGGGCGTGGAAGGGGTCACGTGGGCCTGAGCGAAGCGAGGCTGGAAAGGACTCCCACACCGGCCTCCTTACCTGTGGGCCACGCTCCCTTTCTTGATGTCGGAGATGACAAGGGGGTCCCCCGGTTTCCTACTGGATGGCGCTGTAACGACAAACAGAATGATCCCATCTTTATAGCCACGACATTTCTCCCGTTTTATAATAACTGTTAAGCCTCTGTATGCAAAGCAGGGGCGATCAGCAAATGGATTAGAAAAATGTACACTGTAGCTATAAAAATATGTTTCCGTTAAAATATTTATAAGCTTACAAACTAAAGCAAAGCCATTTTAATTTTTAACTTTATTTTTTTAGAGACAGGGTTTCACTCTGTCACCCAGGCTGGCATACAGTGGTGCGATCACAGCTCACTGCAGCCTCCAACTCTTGGGCTCAAGGGGTCCTCCTGCCTCAACCTCCTAAGTAGCTGGGACTACAGGCTTGACCACCATGCCCAGCTAATTTTTTGATTTTTTTTTTTTTTTTTTTTTTGTAGAGACAGTCTTACTTTGTTGCTCAGGCTGATTTCGAACCCCTGGCCTCAGATGACCCTCCCTCCTCAACTTCCCAAAGTGCTGGGATTATAGGCGTGAACCACCACACCTGGCTAAAATTTATAATTAGAGAAAGGGATTGGAGAACTGCCTGATTCTCAAAGGAGGGCCTGAAGAGTGGATACCTCAAGAGGGGAGCATTTAAATCACGGTGGGGTTCCCCTTGGGGGTCCTGATCTGTGGCCCTTTCTGCCCCCTCACGTTCTTTCCAGGGAGGAGAGGCACTGTGGACAGGAGTAAGTCGTAGGACTCTGGCGTACAGGTGGGAAGCGGCCAAGAATCCCTGCGTTAAAGTTCTTTTCTAGCCGGGCCTGGTGGCTCAGCCTGTAATCCCGCACCTTTGGGGGGCTGAGGTGAGTGGATTGCCTGAGCCAGCGGGTTCAAGACCCGCCTGGGCAGTGAGACCTCATCTCTACAATAAATCAAAAAATCAGCCGGGCGTGGTAGCGCATGCCTGTAATTCCGGCTACTCAGAAGGCGGAGGCGGAAGGATCGCTGGAGCCCAGCAGGTCGAGGCTGTGGTGGCCGGGAGCGGTCACTGCACTCCAGTCTGGGCGACGGAGTGAGACTCCAACTCAAAAAATAAATAAATAAATAAATAAAAATAAAGTTCTTTTCTTGTTCCCAGAAGGAAATCTTCTACTGGATGGATTATAAATCTTTATGTTCTGTTGACAAATTCCTGCCTAGAAAGCTCTGAAATGTTCTGGAATATGATTCTTTCACAGATGGTAGTAAATATTGTGTTGCTCATTAATTAAATGTTTATATATATACAGATACTCTAAACATGTACATGTAACTTTTATTGAATTTACGGATGAAACGTATCTGCACAGTGGTCAGTTTTGGACTTTATACATATTCTTAAGAATATTTCCATTTGATGAGGGGAAAAAGAGACAATTAGAAGTGAACCTACTTAGAATTCACCCTGGAAATGAATTGCGGTCCATATAAATACAAAAAATCCTTGTGACTTAGAAAGTTCACTTTTAATTAGGAATTTGATCTTTGAAATTAATCATATCAACATTTGTGAAAAACAATTTGCCCCTGAGGGAGCTGTTTTGGCAACCCAAGGTCTGGAGTGATTTCCTTTTTGCGATCATCAACGGGCCCCTAAAGTAAGATTTTATCACGAAGAATCTGATCACCCCATAATAACCATGGAGCCATATCATCCCACATAATCCCATCTGAATCCCAGGGAAATACTTATGCACGGGAACAGATGGCTTAATACCTTAACACGACGCGTAAAGAAAAAGCAAACACATACACCAACACCTCGCCCACTGCCTGAAGTAGTCCACGGTCAATGCTGATGGACATCCTTCAATCCTTATTCCAGCAAAGAGCACACAACCTTCTTTTCACAGCAACTGAGTCATCGCTGAAGACTTCATTCAACGATTTGACATAATCATTCCTCTAGAGCAGTAGAAATATCTAGCGTATCTAGTCGTGTCATATTTAAAAACTGCAGATTGTTCTGAGCACAGGGAAACAGTGAAAATTCGCTTGTTCCCAGCAAGCAGAGCTCTTGTGGCACCTGCTGGCGAATGGACGCGTTATTTTCCTGAGTGGTAGTAGGCATCACCCGCGCTCAGTGTTTCCTTGGGCGTTTCAGACAGTCCACGTTTTGCGGATATGGTCTGTAAAACCACACAATGACAGAGGCAGCAAAACACACCAAACCACCTCCATCCTCGTCAACTGAAGAAACAGCACTGCAAGCTCTCGGGCAACCCACACAGCTCTGCGGAGAGGCTGGCACCTTCCATGGCCCACAGACACACACAGTGGCCATTTTCACAGTACCAGATTCCTCTCTTTCTCCTTTCACTGAGCCCAGGCCTGAGGCTTAATAAGCCTATCAGATGGAGACCACGGGGTGACAAAGTGACCACAGAAATGTACCCAGGTCTGTATGCGCCCTGCTTCTGGCACCACCATGCCTGCTACACGTGGCCGGGTACACGGCGGCACACCCCACCACCATGTTTTAATTCTCCACGACCTGAGAGGAAGGCTCAGACCACCCATGCTTGGCTTGGCTTGTAGGGCTTTAAAAAAATTCGGTTAGTTGCCAACATTTAAAAGTTGGTAGATTTCACAGAGAGGAGTGGCTTCTTTTAAGAAAATAGACGGGACTCGGCAGCCAGGATGGTTGGGTTCCCTCGGCTCCCCCATGTATGAGCCATGTGGACTTGAGCACCTCGCCCTGGGGTGCCTCAGTTTCCTCCTCTGCGCAATGGTGATGATGAATAGTGACAGCACAGACCTCTCAGAGTCTGTGTTGGGAGGACTGTGTGAGTTATGACGTGCAAAGTGGCCAGACCATGCCTGCCAAATGCATTATGTCAATGTTTATTGTCACCATCATGATCCAGCAACACTGGACCCTTCCCACTGCCCCTTTAGATGCAGCCTTTGGTGTCCCGTTTGCCGATGTCCTCACCGGGCTGACCTCACCCACCGACTCGTCTTGCCTCGCCCCCGAGGGCTTCTGAGTTTGTGACCCTTTGGAAGACACTGGTATGCTCCTGGTGCCTGCAAGGTGGCTGGAGTTGTCACAGAAGCATTTGTTCATTTAGCACATGTTTGCTGAACTCCAGCTATGAGCCAGGCACCTCTGCTCTGGGCACGGGCTACCAAACCCCAGAGAAGTCAGATACAGAGGAGAGGCAGGGCTGGCCACGTCTCATGGTCAGCAGGCATGAGACAGTTTTCTCGCTTTTTTCTTCCCAGTTCTTTTCCCCAACTGGGAAGTCCACACAAACACGCCACATGGGGGTGAGAGGGATGCTGAACAGGTCCACAGGGTATTATTAGTCCACATTGTGTGGCTGTAATGGAATACCCAAGAAAAAGGGTTATTTGGCTCATGGCCCTGCATGGTGCCAGCATCTGCCTCTAGCGAGGCCTCAGGAAGCTCCGATCATGGTGGAAGGTGGAGAGGGAGCAAGGGGGGTGGGAGCCAGGCTCTTTCAGACACCAGCTCTTGCGAGAACGAACAGAGCAAGAATCACTCATTACTGCGAGGATGGCGCCGAGACGTTCCTGGGGGATCCGGCCCGGTGATCCAGTCCCCTTGCGCCAGGCCCCACCTGCTGCGCTGGGACCACGCGGCTACACGGGACAGACCTCCAGACTGCATGGGGTGGCTTAGAACAAAAGGTCACTGACTTCTGAAAAAGAAAGAAGAGACATGCACAGCTCCTTGAACTCTCAGCCCGCCTGACCAACGCGGGACGGAAGCCCTGATGGAAGGGAACATGAGGCCGAAGCCTGCGTCATGTGACAAGTATAGCACTGCCTTCCCCTGCTCCTATTTCATGAAGCAATTTTAATTCAAACTTGTCCCCATTCTCAATGCCAGTGTGTTTGTTGCTTCCAGATGTGCTGCTTGAGGCCTCTACGAGCTTGCAAGGAACTCACCATCATCGCATCTGTCTACAGCGTGTTCACACTTCAGCAAAGTGATGTTCCTGGAGACGGCACCCCAGGTCACAAGAATCTGTTTGTACAACATGACAATTGTTGACATTTTCATACTGCTCGCAGACATGGAGTCCTGATCCTCACGAGGACGTCACTTACTACATTAAAAAAGTTATTTAAGTTGGGTGCAGTGGCTCACACCCATCATCCCAGCAATTTGGGAGGCAGAGGCGAGAGGATTGCCTGAGCCCAGGGGCTTAAGACCAGGCTGGACAACTTAGTGAAACCTCGTCTTTACAATAAATCAAAAAATTAACTGGGCGTGGTGCCACATGCCTGTAGTCCCAGCTACGTGGAAGGCTGGGGCAGAAGGATCACTTGAAGCCAGCTGTGGTGTCTGTGAATGTGCCACTGCACTCCAGCCTGGGAGACAGAGTGAGACTACGGCTAAAAAAAAAAAACGTTATTTCTTATTTGTATCAAAGATAGAGAAGCACAATTCAAAGAGCTGAGAGTTCGGCAGGAGCAGCCCTCGGTGTCCTGCTTCCCTACAGGCGGCTACTTTCATCGCTTCTGACTGTTTCCACGCTGCTAACTAACTAACTAACTAACACACAACTGTACTTTCAAGTCGTTTTTCTATGCTCCTCACTCTGTTTCCTTCCTACTACGCGAGGGTTGAAGCACTCATTCTTGCTGGCTTCTGGATCACCACACTGATGTACCCTTCCGGTCTCTCCATTTTCCCAGTACAGTTTTGTGATTTTTTTTTTTTTTTTTTTTGAGTTGGAGTCTCACTCTGTCACCCAGACTGGAGTGCCGTGGCATGCTCCCAGACACCGCAGCCTTGACCTGCTGGGCTCCAGCGATCCTTTCGCCTCAGCCTTCCAAGTAGCTGAAACGACAGGTACACGCTACCACGCCCGGTTAGTTTTTGATTTATTGTAGAGATGAGGTCTCGCCAAGTTGCCCAGGCTAGTCTCGAACCCGTGGGCTCGGGCAATCCACTTGCCTTGGCCTTCCAAAGTGCTGGGATGGCAGGCTGAGCCACCGAGCCCGGTCTGTGATGACTTTTGTAAGACCGGTTATTATCTACTTTAGC